TTGCCAGGCTGGAAAGTAAAGGCTAAAAGATGATACCAGTAGGGTGCCTGAGAAAACACTGTTCTTTTCTGTGTAAGGTGTTCTGACCAACAGCTGCTCCAGGTGTAATGTTGGCCGTGTCACGCTACAGGATTTGCGCCTGTGTTCTGTGTGCACGTGCCAGCGGCTCTGCTTTCCCTGTGTACCTGGGCGAGTGTCATCCGTGCCTGGGTTGAGTGACCGTGTTACTGAAAACCGCAAATGCGGGAAAGCCGCCTGTCCCGGCGTAAGCTCCAGCGTGATCTTGGTCAGCCTCTGCATGCGCAGGCATCCCCTCTGGCCTTTGTCTGTAATGGACTTGCGTGGCCTTTGTCTCTGAGCCTGCTCCCTGTCCCCTCCACTGAGACTTCAGAATCACCCAGGGCTGGCTGGAGAGGTGGTGGGTGGGCGTGTGCGATGGTGACAAGGCTCCGAGGGAGGGACATCAGTTTGACGCAGCCACAGATAACAGCAGAGGGGGAGAATTCCTGAATGAAGTGGAAAAAAAAAATATATATATATATATATATATATGTATAATAACAGTGCTCAAATCGAAGAGGAAATAAGTCATTTTAAAGGCATATAAATTTTTATCATCACCCCTAGCAGCCATTGCGTTCCTTGTCTATCCATCTATTCTTGCCCCGACTGACAATAGCATCGAGTACAAAGAAAAATAGAATAAGAAAAAGAAGAAATGAATGGGAGCGGATGGGGAATTGATCACACGGTGTATTTGTATATCCTGATGTAAAAGGTGCACTTGACAGGTGGCCAGGTTTGCTCTGTACACAGCCATGTGTGTGCTGTCAGGAGCACGCACGCTGCCTTGTTTCGATTGATGAATTGCCTGCTTTCTTGATTAAACCTTCCGTCACTTAAGAAACAAAAAGCCTGTGTTTAGATGGCAGAGTGGGACATGTCAAAAAAATCTGTCTCCTTTACCTTCGTGCAGATGCTGGGCACAGACTGTAACATGTATTATTAAAATGAATGTGGCATTTACTGTGCATTATTCCTTTCCTGGGAGAAAGGACTGTAAATTATATGCTAATAATAAGCTTTAACCCTTTCGAAATGCAAAAGATTTAAGAGTGCAAATACTCACGCAGGCCCGGCTAATTGGATGTGCTTTTACACTATCCGCTGTGGTAGCTGTGTCACTGGAGTTAATGAACAGCGTGCGCGGGCAGACACGCAGGCCGCTGGGGGATCCCGTGCCTCTTGGAGGTGTTCCGCTCCGCCAGTGCCTCCTGTAGGATTTCACAGAGAGAGACCCCGAAGCCCCTCAGCTGGGGTCCAGATCATAGCACGGATTAAGTCCGTAGCCGTGTCCAGTTCCCCCAGCGAGTCTGCATCGAGGGCCGTCATGTGTTCCCACCTACAGGGCTGGGCCCACGGGGCTGGCGGGGCTTGGGGCTGGCAGGTACCAGGTGTTGGCGCCTCGCACGTACATGGCTGTCTTCCTTGGCCAGGCTTTTCTGTCCTCAGTCCAGTTGCCCAGGTGGCAGACTCCTCTCCCCAAAGCACAGCTCCTCAGATCAAACCTTCATGCCCCGCCCCAGCCCCTTGTGTTAGATCGGACCACACCTGCCCTGCGTTGAGGCTGGCGGTGGCCAGTCTGCACCTGTCCGGTGTCTTCTCGCCATTTCTCTTCACCTGTGCCCACCGGCCTGGGTTGCTCCCTCGTACCCTCACTTTTGTGTCTCTGTGCATTTGCCTCTGCCAGTCCGATGGCCCGATTGTCCCACCTTCTCCTCTTTGCTGACCTGTGTCCAGACTGCCTCTTACACAAAGCTTTTCTGGTTCCCTTCCAGCTGGGTTTATTCCCACACTGTTGTATGTTGTAGAGTTCAACCGCGAGCACCTTGAGAAGGCAGAGGCTGTGTTTCTGGAGGATGGAGGCTGCCTTTGATCTCTTTTGAATCAAGGAGGATGTAATTAAAGGCAAAGAGAAGACTATTATGTAGTCCCCTGTTCACTCAGCAGACCCGAGAGTTGCCGTGTGGCCAGGCCCCAGGTTTCCTCCTGTGGAAGAAGGCTCAGCATATGACTGCTGGGCATTTGGGGTAGAGCATGTGTGGCTATCGCACCGAGCCACTGCGAACAGCCACACAGGTTGTGCACTGCACAACATACGTGAGTGGCACTCCTTAGAGCTGCGTGAGGGCCCTGCATCATGTTACCTTGGTTGGGCAAGTCACGCATTGCTAGTTATCCATACCTGTAAAATAACACAGTAACCACCCGCTACTCTCCCAGGTCTGCTGTGAAGATCCAGGATGTAAGAACATTGTGTAAATCGAGCAGCAGTGCAGGAATGTCAAGTCTCTCCATATTCACACACACACACACACACACACACACACACACACACACACCACACCACACACACACACACCACACACACACCACACCACACACACACACCACACACCACACACACACACACACAGCCCCCCCCCCTTGCAGGGCTATGATCAAAGCAGGAGCCCAAAGACTTGTCGACAGTTATCACTCAAGACATACTGGCTCATGCTCAGCGCGGCCTTCATCTTAGCACTGTGCTCCTTATGTGATTTTACACATAAGATTCCATCTCAGGAATCAGAGGACTCTAGGTGCTCAGAGAAAATCCCTCCCTCAGTCCAGGGAAACTTGCAATAGGCTCTCTGGCGCGGCTCCGCTCGGCCCCCCTGGAAACTGAGACATTCTGTCACGCATCATCACTTAGAAGTGGGCTATTTTCTGTGGCAAGCAGCCCACGAGCCCCTTCTCAGGAAGGTGACAGAATGGTGGCTTGGGGGCAGGAAGGAGAGAAGTACCTGGCAGAATGAGGCGAGACTTCTATAAAATCTTCCAATGTGCCTTTGGTTTCTTGGAGGAAAAAAACCTGGGGGCCGGGGGGCGGGGGGGGTGCTGCCTGCTGCCCCAGGCTTTCATGTCTGCTTTTCCTGTGCTGCATGGGTAGGAGAAAGTTAAGACTTTTTCCAGTTTCGTCATGGTGAAAAATAAAAACATTATTAGGTGACAGATACTTCAGTGCTCTTAAAAGGGTGGCCACCCTCCCGCTGAGCTTTCATTCTGTCTTTGGTTTTTAAGCATGGCAGCGTAGGCGGCATTGGTTTAATGGGCCACATCCCCCTCTTAAATCCGAGGGAGGCAGCTGGGGGGGCAGTGGGAGGAGGCATGGCGGGAGCCAGAAAAGCCAGGTCCAGGCCCTGCTTCCCCCGCCGCCGAGCCCAGTCACGTCAGGCGCAGCACCAGGCCTTCCTGGGTGGACACCCTGCATCTCTCAGTGTCAGCAGCAACATCAACACCGTAAACATAGTTCAGCTAATACTTACAGGAAACTTCCCGTGTCAGGCATTGGCTGATAGCTAAGGCAGCAGGGATGACATCCGCAGGGTTGAGGATGTGTGGCGACGAGCCTCATGTGTCCTGCAGGCCGACTGCCCGGATGTTACCAGCAAAAGGGCGGACTTCACAGACATTCCATCCAGACACTGCCTTGATTGTAAAGAACTCAGGACAACTAGAGAAAAACCAACTTTCGGACACCATTCTCCCTGTGTATTTATCTTCTTTGTCTCGTTTTTAAGCAGAAATAGGCCCCCATTTCCCCATCATAATTCCCTTCCTGGCAGGCAGCGTGACTTGGGCCCAGCGGCAGGGTCCTTTCTGAAGGCGTAGCCACAGAAATGCTGAAAACAAAGCAAAGAACACGCTTAATCCCAGGTCTTCTTCTGCTTGTAGCACTTTTCCAGAGGTTTGCTCTGGGGTGATCCAAGTAGCCTGGTTTACCAAACACTCCTGCCCAGGGGCGGCTTCTATCAAATTAGCCTTCTGTTTCTTTTTCTATCTCTGTCTCTCTTGTAATAATAGACTATCAGCTGAGAGAGAAAAATGATATAATTAGTGCAACTTCTTTAATTTAAACACATTTAGGGAGCTGAAGTTGTTTTGCCTTTATTAAAATGGATTACGTTATTTTATTTTAATAATACCTAACCTTCCTCCAGCACTTACCACATACCAGACTCTGGTAAGCACTTTCCATGCATTTTGTCATTTAATCCCAATAAATCCTCACCAAGAAAACCTTACAAAAAACCTGTAGGGTTTATACTATTACTCTTATCATTTCCAGTTTATAGAGACAGCACAGCTGCCAGTGTCGCTGTGCTCCCATGCTCAAGCCTTGTAAAATAATCATCTCTTATAAATATCTTTTTCTTTATAAATATTTTTATTTTACAAGTGGAAAAAACTGAGGTTTCAGGAGATTGTGATTTGCCCAAAGTTACACTGCTAGTAAGTGGCGGGGGGAGGGGGGGGNAAAACCTCTCAAAAAATTAAAAAGCCATCTTCTTCCACTGTGTGATCAGTGCCCGCCCACCTTCACACACACACACACACACACACACACACACAACCACACACACACACCACACACCACACACACACACACCACACACACACACACACACACACCACACACCACACACACACACACACACACAGCCCCCCCCCCTTGCAGGGCTATGATCAAAGCAGGAGCCCAAAGACTTGTCGACAGTTATCACTCAAGACATACTGGCTCATGCTCAGCGCGGCCTTCATCTTAGCACTGTGCTCCTTATGTGATTTTACACATAAGATTCCATCTCAGGAATCAGAGGACTCTAGGTGCTCAGAGAAAATCCCTCCCTCAGTCCAGGGAAACTTGCAATAGGCTCTCTGGCGCGGCTCCGCTCGGCCCCCCTGGAAACTGAGACATTCTGTCACGCATCATCACTTAGAAGTGGGCTATTTTCTGTGGCAAGCAGCCCACGAGCCCCTTCTCAGGAAGGTGACAGAATGGTGGCTTGGGGGCAGGAAGGAGAGAAGTACCTGGCAGAATGAGGCGAGACTTCTATAAAATCTTCCAATGTGCCTTTGGTTTCTTGGAGGAAAAAAACCTGGGGGCCGGGGGGCGGGGGGGGTGCTGCCTGCTGCCCCAGGCTTTCATGTCTGCTTTTCCTGTGCTGCATGGGTAGGAGAAAGTTAAGACTTTTTCCAGTTTCGTCATGGTGAAAAATAAAAACATTATTAGGTGACAGATACTTCAGTGCTCTTAAAAGGGTGGCCACCCTCCCGCTGAGCTTTCATTCTGTCTTTGGTTTTTAAGCATGGCAGCGTAGGCGGCATTGGTTTAATGGGCCACATCCCCCTCTTAAATCCGAGGGAGGCAGCTGGGGGGGCAGTGGGAGGAGGCATGGCGGGAGCCAGAAAAGCCAGGTCCAGGCCCTGCTTCCCCCGCCGCCGAGCCCAGTCACGTCAGGCGCAGCACCAGGCCTTCCTGGGTGGACACCCTGCATCTCTCAGTGTCAGCAGCAACATCAACACCGTAAACATAGTTCAGCTAATACTTACAGGAAACTTCCCGTGTCAGGCATTGGCTGATAGCTAAGGCAGCAGGGATGACATCCGCAGGGTTGAGGATGTGTGGCGACGAGCCTCATGTGTCCTGCAGGCCGACTGCCCGGATGTTACCAGCAAAAGGGCGGACTTCACAGACATTCCATCCAGACACTGCCTTGATTGTAAAGAACTCAGGACAACTAGAGAAAAACCAACTTTCGGACACCATTCTCCCTGTGTATTTATCTTCTTTGTCTCGTTTTTAAGCAGAAATAGGCCCCCATTTCCCCATCATAATTCCCTTCCTGGCAGGCAGCGTGACTTGGGCCCAGCGGCAGGGTCCTTTCTGAAGGCGTAGCCACAGAAATGCTGAAAACAAAGCAAAGAACACGCTTAATCCCAGGTCTTCTTCTGCTTGTAGCACTTTTCCAGAGGTTTGCTCTGGGGTGATCCAAGTAGCCTGGTTTACCAAACACTCCTGCCCAGGGGCGGCTTCTATCAAATTAGCCTTCTGTTTCTTTTTCTATCTCTGTCTCTCTTGTAATAATAGACTATCAGCTGAGAGAGAAAAATGATATAATTAGTGCAACTTCTTTAATTTAAACACATTTAGGGAGCTGAAGTTGTTTTGCCTTTATTAAAATGGATTACGTTATTTTATTTTAATAATACCTAACCTTCCTCCAGCACTTACCACATACCAGACTCTGGTAAGCACTTTCCATGCATTTTGTCATTTAATCCCAATAAATCCTCACCAAGAAAACCTTACAAAAAACCTGTAGGGTTTATACTATTACTCTTATCATTTCCAGTTTATAGAGACAGCACAGCTGCCAGTGTCGCTGTGCTCCCATGCTCAAGCCTTGTAAAATAATCATCTCTTATAAATATCTTTTTCTTTATAAATATTTTTATTTTACAAGTGGAAAAAACTGAGGTTTCAGGAGATTGTGATTTGCCCAAAGTTACACTGCTAGTAAGTGGCGGGGGGAGGGGGGGGGTGAGATTCGAACCCAGGTCCCTGACTCCAGACCTAAGCTCCAAATCCCTGAGCCGAGGACGATGCTTCAAGGTGTGTGTGACCATTTCCCTGCACGTGTCAAATTGAAGTTGAAAATGGCACACGCGCCTGGAGTGCATTATGCTGGGACTAACTTGGTATAAGAGGTCTCAGCATTATTTAAACCTCAGATGACTCCTGGCCCATCCTTTCCGGGACCTCCTCAGAGTGAGGCCTGTGATGATGGACTGGTGATAACTCCCTAGCTCCTGGGGCATCTCGAATAGTGGCCGTGGCTCCCACTGGCTGTTTTGGGGCAGAACACTGAAGGGTGAGCACACAGCCCCCTCCCTGAGTGCTGAGTGGCTTAAGGCAAGGTGCTTTAACCTTTCTGTGCCTTAGTTTCCTTATCTGTTAAACGGGGTGACGGTGGTTTGTGGTGAGGATTAGAATCATGCCTGGTCACAGAAAGCCCTGTAGACGCGTGACTATGATTATAGTTATTCCACAGCCCCTCCGTCCCGCCCCTTGTCAGGTCCTTCCGTGACCTGAAAAGGGAATATTCCAGGAACCTCAGCAGGTGAGGCCACCACAGGTCTTGCTGTTGGAGACTGTTGTCTGGGGGAGCTCTGGGCACCTGGATACACTTGCCATAGCCTTGTCTTAGGCCTATGGTGATAGTGGGCACCCCAAGCCCGCCGTTTCCATTATTGGGCCTGAACCTCAGCTGTTCTTCTCCCCCTACCCCGGCGCTCCTGGACCCTGCCCATGGCAGAGCTCTTGTTTAATGGACACTCACCTTAGTGCCTCCCCTGCTTTGAAGCTTCACTCCCTAGATCGGGCCTCCTAAGATGCCAGCCTCTGAGGAAACCAAGCCCGAGGTTACTGAGCCACTGGAGGCCTCCGTGTGTGTCCCCGCCAGCTCCCAGCCCCAGCGTCCCCTCCCCTGGGGCCTCCCACGGCCGCTGTGGCCGAGCTCCCATGCTCCAGCCCTGCGGACTTCAGACAATACTCACAGATTCCAGGTTAGCATATTTTAACTCCTGATGGCTTAATGAGTAAAGATGTACGTGTTGGCAAAACCTGGGGAGAAGCTGGACAGCCACACGAGGTCCGGAGATGAGATCGAAAGTTATCCTTGGTCTGTCACACATGATGAGTCAGAATGAATGCGTTTCACTGCTAACATCAGGACAGAAGAAAGTCTGATCTGTTTTAGAACAGGGAAGCCACCTTTCCTGTGGACAGAATACCTGAATCCATTCACTGTCATACATTTGGTGTTTGTGTCCTGAATACGCAAAGCTTTTTTTCCCTGTTTTTATTAATGGCCAGTGATGGTCCTAACCTGTTTGTTTTTTTAAAAAAAATCTTCAGTGCTCTAGCCTAGAGTTTGGATATAACATATTTATCACACATCCCAGAAAAGAGGCTCCTTATTCCTCAGATTTGTCTTCTGATTGTCTCTAAGACAATGAGTGATGTGGAGCTCCCATCCAAGGTTGAGACCCTTTGTTAGAGAGCGGCTTCTCACGCCTGACTTGTTTTATAGCGCAAACGATCTCATGATCCACTAGTGAGGCAACATCCATAATTTTGAATGAGCGAGGGAAGCTTGCCTCGTTGGCCCTAAGCATCACTTTTGGTGACACACTTAGTACTTAATCGCTCGCTACCTAGAGGCAATAAACACACCCATCTTTATGTTCCACTGCCTCACGTGTTTGCCTTAAATATGCCCTGTGCTCACAAAATGCCAGCATCACTCCTGTCAGAAGGCCCTTTGACTCATAGAATTGTACCATTGTCACTCATCTTCCTTTTGCCAAAGGTGGCCGTGCCTTTTCAGACCCGAGATGGGCAGCTTCTTTGGCCGTAAGCCTCTTGGCTGTTTATGCTGCTTGTAAAACTTTGGCTATCGGATTGGTTTCCCAATTCTAAAAAAGTCTATCTTTTTCTTTCATTATAACATCCTATTCAATGCCCGGTTCTCTGCTGGAGTTCAAGGTCTGCTTTGGGAGGGTAGGCTGGTGATGTCTCATTCACCAGTGTGTGTCCAATGCCCAGCCCAGGGCCTGGCCCACAGGAGGTGCTCAGGGATGTCGGTTTGATTGGTTTTTGAAATCCACCCTTTTGTATCCATCCTTTCCAGCTATGTGACTCTGGACAGTTTACATAACATTTCGGTCCATTTTCTTGTCTATAATTTTGAGAGTTAGAGGTCAAGAACATGAAGTGCCTAGTACTAAGTGGGCATCCCGGAAATGGTAGCTGGTACGACTGTCATCACTACTGTTGTTCCCAGGAAGCTCTGGTCTTATTCACTCCAGAGCTTGACCCTCCCACCCACCTAAAAATGTAACCGGGAGAAGGAGCAGCTGGTCCACTAATGTAGAGCCAGACAGGCACTCACCTGGAGGGACCCTGCCTGGTTCAGGGGACCTTTTGCCGTCATATAAGGCAAACCCTCCATTCTGGTTCAGAAATCAGTCATCACTTGAGATGTTAGTTTGCTGCTGGGTAACACAGGTTTAAAGAGAGCTTCTCAGCCTTTGCGTCAGCTTGAACTTGCCCCTTATCGAATCAGCTCTCCTTAGGGAAGAATTGTATCTGCTCAGCCATCCACATGGTTTCACTTCTTTCTCCTTTGCCTTTTGGTTTCTAGCTCTTTCTTTCCTGCCCCTCCCATCCCAGGACCCTTTAGCAAAAAAAAAAAAAAAAGCCCCTTTTCTTGCCTCAGAATCCTTACATAGCTGTGAGCCAGGGCTTCGTTTAAGGGTTACGTGAAAGCCACACCACCTGCGAGCACATCGTGAAGCCCCCAGCTCCAGAGCAGCTGCCAGGCCACGGGCCCCCAGGCTCTCAGGCCTGCACAGAGGCTGGCCCTGCAGCCACAGGACACACCCTGCATTGAAGGTGTCCTTTCTCAGGGTTTGAGAGAGTGAACAACTGTCTCGGATTGTTTCGGCAGGACACAGGGCTATCTATGGATGCTGAGGGATTGCTCCTTTCTTCCGCCTACGTTTTTTTAAAATAGATATTGGGACTTTTATTTGGATTTAATGAGGACAGACATTTTAATCAGAGGTTAGTCATTTATTTTTGCAAACTATTGTTTTGATTCATCATTTTTGCAGATAATTAAATGGATCAGTTGACTCAGTGTATCTACTTATTAAAACAGGTAATTTGGGGAAAAAAAAAGAGGTGCTATTTTTTAGATCACTGCACAAGAATTGCTCTTATCTTCATCTTGGAGCATAGTTTCTGGTTGTTTTGCCAGAAGGCTCTCCCGTGTTCAAGCATTTGGTGTCCCTCTGGTCTGGGGGGGCTTGCCCTTGGATAATGGTGGTGTTAGCCACTATGCCTTTTGAAATGGGAGATGAAGAGTAAACTCCGCTGTTAACTGTTAGAAGGACTCTTCGGTTTTAATTGGATTATGAAACAGAGCCTACAAGTTATGAACTTTGCAGAGCAGCAGTTCTTATGCTAAAAACAGATTAATTGTAGCCCTCGCAGTGGGTGGAGTTTAAAAGTCAATTACTGCTTGTCCTATTATAATTTGCACACCTAGGATTTGAAAAAGTCTGTCACTTAGTATAAAAACGAAAAGGTTACGTGTACTCATCGGAGTGTACCTGTGACTTCATTTGTAAATGCTTTTAGCTACATGTATTTGTATGTATGCAACTTGTAGAACGGTAATATAACTCCATCTGTGAGCAAGATTCCTTACGAAGAGTAACCTTTAAGATTTAGTTCTTTAAATCCGTAATGGCTTAGAATATAAGCCTTTGTCTGGCACTTTAATCCACTTGTAGGCACCATGGCCAGCCGCTGCAGGGCTTTGGGACCACTCCACTCCCCGGGTCATGAACCAGTAAAGAAATGGCTCTTCGGGGGTCAATTTTTTAAAAACAAATTGCTCACGACATTTGCTTTCTTTGATTTTTCCATGTTTGTGTCCTGAATCAGTTAATTCGCTCATTAAAAGGATTTATTTTAGGCGGACCAATTAAAACTTTGGAAGCTAATTTTTTGCTGAGCAGCGCAGACCTCCGAAAACACAATTTATAACATGGCTTCTGCCCTTTTCCACCGAGAGCTGTCTGATCGTACTGCAACCTCTGGTGCTCGTGGAAGTCAAGAACTGCTGTTCTTTGTCCTCCTCTCCGGGCTGAACTGAGCCGCGTGTGTAGGTTTCTTCCAGCCTCCATTGTCTTAAGGTGCATGGGGCGAGTCTGAGAAGTCCAGCCCAGCCCAGGAGTGGCACGCCGTATTTGTTTGCTTGCATAAACCCCATAGTTTAATTTTTTAAAATAGGAAGCTGCTGTGTAGTTTGGATATTTAAACAGTTATTAACCGAATGACAATTAACAGATTGCATAGACAGATTTTCTTTTGAAAACCTCCGAAATTGAGTACAGTTTGCAAAACTATCACGGCATAGTAATGACAATGAATTTTGATTTCCCGGAACTGATATTAGACTCCTTATTAAACTATGTGCATCTGCTTTTAATTTACTCCAAATAATTGGAAAATGCAATGAAGCTTTCCAATTAAAGCACGGCTTTATGCTGTTTAATAATACCCCCATAATATTATAGCTTATGAAGTGACAGGTGAGTTGGTGTATGAATAAAACATAAAGGCAGCAATAAGGGACAGAAAACCGGAGACAGTTGTGGGGATTTTAAATGCTGGATGTAATTTGCATATATTAATCTCTTCTTTTCAGCCTTATCAGGCGTTCTTCAGTATTTGAAGTTAAAATAGCGTTGACAGGCGGGAGTACGCTTAGTTTTTTCAAGGATTTATTACTTGTATAATTTCTGATCTTTAATAAGCAGATATGACTGATCCTCATAGTTCTATAGAAATCGGTTAATTGTTCCAGATGGCGTGTACTGATTATGCAAAATTACTTTTCACACCATTTTTTTTGTGATGGAGTTTGGAGTAAAATTAAATTTTTTATAGCCTTCTTATCATGCTGTTTTACAGTGGTTTTTCTACAGAAGTTGAATTTAATCTACTATATTACATTGACCAGCACAGTTATTCTAATGTAGCATTTTGTGATTTGACAAAGAATAATAGAACACATTGCTCATTGTTCATTACTGTGTCCCTAATAAAAGGGAGCTCCTGTGTATAGAACATAGCTGTTATTTATGAAGAATGCCTAATTCATGCCGTTAAAAATGCGAAATTGTACTATGAAGTAGTCCTTTTTGGGGAGAGAATGTCTGGGAAATAGGCTTTTTGCTACCGACTTTACATGCTAAAGGAGGGTCTTCTTTTAATGACCAGAGTGTTGAAATTGTGCTACTTTCTTCTTTGAAGGGAGAAAAAAAAAAGCCAGCTAATCTCATTCTATTAAGAGAGGTGTCACCGGTTGACTTGTCTTGATTTACATAATCCCAGAAGTCTTTCATAATTGAATAGCATTTATAAAAGGTGGTTACACTTTGGTGTAAAGTATCCAAAAAGGGTCGAAAAAGCTTCAATAAATAATTCGTCTCTAGCATTTTCCAAAGTGTCGATTTTCTAAAGCATCTCATGGCTGGTATCAGATCCCAGTCCAGGTTGTGGGAGGTACCAGGTGACATCAATCTAGGCTTATTCTTGTCCAGGTTCTCAGGTAACATTTTCTCTGCAGCTCAGCTGGTAGTGGGATGTGAAGGACACAGCAGATTCACCCCGAAACGGATGCAGGTTTCCAAGGGGTAGGGCGGGGCGGGATAGTTTTTTTGTTGCATCAAAAATCCTGACTGGGTGTGTAGTGTTTTAAATAAAGCAGGTACATATAAAGAAAAGTATTTTATGTATATAATCTGAAGCTTGACCTGTTTTCAAAACAGGCCACTGTGTATTAAGTCTTACCAGGGTTTTCATAAACTTGGGATGTATATTTCTGTTCTAAACAGAGTAGAATCCATTGCACAGAAACACACAGATCTTTACACGGCCAGACAACGCGCTTCAGATAGTTCAGTCCTGCGCACCAGCACCTTCCCACCCATGTCTCGTCCCCCAGGCCTGTCTTGTTTGAACAGACTTGAGGCGGCTTTGGATCTGTTTAAAAGGCTCAATGCTCTTAGC